CAGTCACTGAAAACTATGAAAATGATGATTAGCAACTGACATTGGGGAGACTTTAGGGAGCGGTAGAGGGTGTGGCAAAGTGGATAGTGCCTGTGTTCTATCTTCTGCATGAAGTCTCTCCTCAGAGTCAAACTCACTGCCATTGGGTTGATTCTGGCTCATGGTGACTCTCCAGGGCAGAGAGTCGATAGGATCAGACTTGACTCTACAGTAATTGGATTTCGTGTGAGTATGAAGGCAGTGTGGCCACATTTGTTGATTAAAAACAGGAAAACCTGCAGAAAAAAGAAAACCCTATGGAGAAATGCCCCCCTGACACACAAGGGGTTAATTTGTGTCAAAAAACCAAACTCACTGTTGTTAAGTCTATTTGACTCAGAGCCTCCTAATAGGACATGGTGACTTGCCCCATAGGGTTTCCAAAGTAACCTTTATTATATGGAGGGAAACTGCCACATTGTCTCCCCCACCCTCACCCCCAGCAGAGCAGCTGGTCTGAACCACTAATCTTTTACTTAATAGCAGCTAAGTGTTTAACCATTTAGTTCCTGAAAAGAATGAAGATGGTGAGAGGGAGTGTGATAGGGGAGACTGGGCAGGGATTTAGACAGGGAGTTTGGCGAGGCCTCTCCGCAAGATGACACAGATCTGGCGAGTGAGTGACCAATTAAATGGTCAGGTGACATCCTGAAGGAAGTGTGTTCCGGGCAGAGGGAACAGCAGAAGCGAAAGCCCCCGGGTGTTTGTGCCTGGAACACATGTGGTGCTGAAGGAAGTCGGTGTGGTTGAGCTGGCAGTGTGGAGAGGCTGGGCTGCCCCATCTTGTTGGGTCAGTGAGGAATCGGGATTCAATTCTAAAGGAATCCGGATTAGATTCTAAAGGATGGGAAACCACGAGCAACTTTAAGCAGGAGAAGGCTGAGATTCCCTTTGTACTTGAAAGAATTCCATTGGGAGGAGCCTTGAAGGTGGAAGGAAGTGGATGCAAGAGCCCAGGCGTAAACTAACGTGGCTGGGCCCAGGTGCTGGTTGCAGCAGAGACAAAAAGGGGGTGGATTTAAGGAGGGGATGGATTTGGAGGTATAGCTGACAGACTTGGCTTATGGATTAATTAAATTTAAGGTCATTAAGGAAAACACCACTACTTGATAAAAGCCAGCATCATTCCAAAAATAGCGAAAATGTTTAATGGCTAGTCTCAAAATGCACATACACGTTTGTTGCAAGCAATGGCATAAGAAACTGATTGTTCTCATCTCGGCACAGTTAAAATTTCCTCCTGAAGCTGTTAGAAAAACTCATTGCTGCCAAGTTGGAACCCTCCAATGGGTTTTTGAGAGGCTATGAATTGCATGGAGGATATTGCCCATCTTTCTCCCTTGATGCTCTTGGTAGATTCAAACAGAGAGGCGCCCTAGGGAGTTAGCATTGCAACTTCCCACAGAGTAGGCTGCCAGAGTTCCCCTCAAAACCAGTTAGAACTTGGTTAAAATAAACATGTTTGTGGTTTAAGGGGGAGAAAAATCTCAAATGCGTAGGCTTAGAGGAGTTACTTTTAAAAAAAATGAAAAGAAAGAAAGAAACCTTCCTTTTATTTACAAAGCTGTTTTTGTCTCTTCTGGTGGGGATTGGGAATGAATTACCACCTACCAATTCGAGTGGTTTCTGCTTCATTTGCCTTTTGTAAATAAAGTCAGCAACTGACTCAGAGTCCCAGAGGGCTATATCATTAATTTGGAACATTATCACAATTAATCACTGTTTTACAATATAGTGTGTACCGACTTCAGACTGAAACAAATATTTCTCTTTGATTTGCAATAATGATGTATTGCAGTCCTGGGAAATAAAACAGCATTTTGTGTGGTATCGTGTAACAATAGCATCTCAGTTCATCTGTTTTGATGAACACACAGTGTTGGGAAGAGTACTGCTTTACTTCTCTGAACAACAGGGTCAACAGCCGTGAACCTCACATTTCTCAAGCCCATAGGGATAGCGCTTCTAGGTAAGGAGCCCTAGTGGCACAGTGGTGAAGGGCTAATCAGAAGTTTGGAGGTTCAAACACACCAACCATTCTGCAGAACGAAAATGTGGCAGGCAGCATGCAAAGATTATAGTCTTTGATACTCTGTGGGGCTCTTCTACTCTGTCACATAGGGTGGTACACAGGAAAAACATTAAATCAAGTATATTCTGCATTCAGGAAGAGTCCCCAGATAGCACGAATGGTTAAGTGACCAAAAGCTGACAGTTGAAACCACCCCCAAAGGCACCTTAAAACCCAGGCCTAAGGATCTGCTTCTGAAAGACCACCATTGAAAAACTCTATGGAGAACTTCCTGTTCTGACCCAAGAGGCAAAACTGATTCTGATGCAAGAATTAAACCACCAAAAAGAACACCACCTATTCAGGACGGCGGCAGTCTCTGGAGGTTCTCCTGAGATTCTGTAGTCCCCCACAATCCAAAGCCTCTCCTAAGAAAGAATGACAGGACAGGGTCACTCTAGCTATGGGCTGTTACACTGATAAACATAACACGAGGCAAATGTTAATGGTAACCATTTCTGTTACCAATAAATGGGGCACTGCCTTGTGACATAACCCAAAACATGCTGTCAGTTCCTTCAACTGGCGTAGCAAACGTAATGATACCATCAGAGAAGTTATGAGGAATTCCCAATAGTTTCTTTTTTCGCTCATGAAAGTATGATTTTATGAACCTGTAAAATGGTGCAACTGCTATGGAAAGTAGCTTGGCTCTTCCTTAAAATGTAGGAATAGAAATACCATTAGATCCAGCAATCCCATCACTAAGTATATACTCTAATGTAGTAAGAGCTGCCACATTAATAGATGCAACCACTCCTAAATTCATTGCAGCATTATTTACAACAGCAAAGAGGTGGAAACAACTCAAGTGTCCATCAACAGAGAACAGAAAAAGAAACTATGGCACATTCACACCATGGTATCATATGCAACATTGAAAAATTGTGATTGTTGTTATTATGTGCCATCAAGTTGACTACGACTCACAACGACCCTATGTACAATAGCTCTGAGCCCTGCTCTATCCTGTACCAATCTCACTGTCTCTGACACACCTACCCTCATTAGTCCAGTTATTGTGTCAATCCACCTCACCCAGGGTCTTCCTCTCCTACACTGTCTCTCCACCCTTCAAGCATGATGTCCTTCTGCAAAGAAGCAATGAAGAATTTATGAAACACTGCAGAACATGGATGTGTCTACACTATGCTAAGTGGAAAATAGTCATAAAAGGACTATTACAGTATAAGACCACTATTATTAAAAGC